GGTTATTCAACTTAAGTGTTATTAAACCAATTACTCATACAAATCGTTTGTAAATCTCACAAATTTCATTAGAAATTTAGTTATATGTTATTGAAAAGAATGCACAAGATATAACAAATACTGCCCAGAAGTTGTGCACTTGAAGGTATAAAATTGTGCACTTGAAGAAAAATGGGTTCACTTTAATGCTAAATGTTTTTTTTTTTTTTTAATTTTTACACAATAGTAAGACACACATACACTTCTAGGCATTAAATTGAGCACTTGAAAGCATAAAGAGGATCATTAGAAGGCAAGGAAAAAAATGACACTAAAAGGGAAAATTTGAATGAAATTAATTATACACTTTTAGAAAGGAAAATATGTACTTGAAGACTACAAAACGTGCACTTGAAGGCCAAGAGATTTGCACTCAAAATAGAAACTAAGTACTGAAATAAAAGTTATGTATTGGAAGAAGAAAAAGTATGCACTTGAAGAAGGGAAAATGTGCACTCAAAGAAGGATAATTGTGCACTCGGAAACAAAACACAAGCTGACTTATTTACTCAAAATTACAATTATACCACAGCGCATTTTTCAATTAAAATTCAATTTGGGTTGTTGATTTGGATTGCATCTATGGTTGTAAATTGTTCGCATTTTTTACCTAATGAGACTTTTTTATTTGATCCTTATTTTATATATATATATATGGGATGTGATAAGTGCGAAGTGACATACTTTCAATATTCAAATAAATCTTTCAAATTTTAAACACAAAATTTAAACAATGCAAAATTTAATGAATTAAAACCCAAATTAACCAAAGGGTGTGTTTGGTTCGCACATAGGAATCGGAATCAGATTGGATATTAAATACTTGGTAATGGTAATGGGTTTTGGTGAAAGTGTTTAACATGTTTGGTAGTAGGGTGGAATAGGAATGATTACTAATAGTAGTTCTTTAGAATGAATAAGGGAATGAAACCCTTATTTTATTTGGGTATGAGTTTTTCAATTGATGGGGTATTCGAAACCCATAGTAGTATTCTAAAAACCTATCAACCAATTCGCCTTTCTTAGTTTTTCCCTTGCTTCCTTCGCGAGTTGTCTTTTTCCCTACGCTTCTAGGGTTTGTTTTTTCCGACTAGCAGATGTTGACGATGAGGATGCCTCTGTGCAAGTGCCTATTGTTCCGAATGTTGAGCAAGTTGAAGAGAGTAGTTACTATGCAGTGGTCGACTCGTCACACAGAAACCGGTAAGATTTTTCTTCTTTCAAGAAACTATGGCCGCTGTCTGGCAGTCAGTATTGGGAGTGACTATGCGACAATTGCAAGAACACGGTGTTTATGCGACAATTGCAAACACATTAACACATTTAATGCGCGTTCGCACACACTTAATCTAATCTAGACCATAAAAAAATATTAGATGGATGCACATGATGCGTTCTCACGTTCTCACCTAAATACATGTTCTCATATGATCCTAACTATATATATATATATATATATATATATATATATATATATATATATATATATATATATATATATATATATATATATATAAACTTGAAGGTCGAGCCTGGTATACATAGGCCTGGCCTGTTTAGTTTAATAGGCTTTGAAATTAGCTCAAGCTTAACCTTTTTACTAAACGAGTTAGGCCTAACTCAATCGTTATGCTGTGCAACCGTGTGCACCATGCATGGTGCACACGGTTGCGAACGACGCCATTTCACTATGGTGGAGTAACGGTGCTGTTAGTGGCACCGTTTAACTCCACCAATCAATTTTTATTTTAAACTCCAATCGACGGGATTTCCACCATTTCCGGCGTGGATATATATTCACTAATTCTGGATATATAGTTCATTAATTCTGGATACATAGTTTACTAATTCTGGATATATAGTTCATTAATTCTGAATTTAAAGTTTATTAATTCTGAATATATAATTCATTCACTCTGAATACACAGACGCAGCAAACTGCCATGAGCCAAAACAGAGTACCGGTAACCGGTGTGGATATATAGTTCACTGATTCTGGATATATAGTTCATTAATTCTGGATATATAGTTCAAATTATGCACAACATAATGCCGCTAACGGCAATCGAAAATAATTTTTTTTTAAAAAGTCAGACGTCAAAACGACGCCGTTTTTGTAACTGTGTGCACCATGCATGATGCACACGTTGCAGGGCATAATTTCCCGACCTCACTAGACTTTAATTAGGCTAGGACATAAGTCCCTACAAGGAGCCTGGCCTATTTGTATCCCTACAGATATGGATGGGGGTTTGATTTGGAAAAATCCAATCGAACTGAACCAAACTGTTTCACAAAACCGAACTGAACCAAACTGGTTCGGTTCGGTAAGCGTTTTTGAATTTTGATGTACCAAACGGTTCAGTGCTTCTAGCCTTTCGCCGTCCGCCCCTCCGCCACTCCACCATCTGAGAACCTAAGAATCGAAAACTTCAAGGAGACGAAGACGAAGGCTCCGCCATCCGAGCCTGCTGTCCTGCTCCACCGTCCGCCATTGCCTGCTGCCCTGCTTCCCTGCTCCGCCTTTGCCTGATTTTGAGTTGAATTCGCAATAAGTTCCAAGTGTGTTGTGTGTGTGAATATAGCAGTAATTGTGACTGTAATTCTGATCTTGCAGGGAAGAGAATATGAAAGTCAAGATTATACGTATCCTTCTTTGTCATTATGTGTTTTGAATGATATTATTTATGATCTACTGGAGTTATATTGATGCAAAATGTAATATTAAAAAAAATAAAAATAATTGCTTAATTCTTGAAACTCAAAATCAATTTGGCATTTTATAATTTTTTTAAGGTAAGGCTTTGGGAGCCATTTGATATGCATCGTTGTTCTGTGTGAATTTCTTGAACTCATGAAGTATTAACCTTTTTATTTTTAGTTTCTCACTTCACCACTAGTGAAGTTTGATTTGTACATGCATATAAACTTTGTTTCATTTTAATTCTTTTTATTGCTTTCTGTTTGTTTGGTGTTTGGTTGGACTAATTTTCAGTATGCCAGAAATACTTGAGATTGCCTGTCATTTGCTATCCAGCTTAAATTTCTGTGTAATCAGTTTTCACTTGACCAATTCCTTTGCTTTGTGCTGTGGGTGGCTATGAACAGAGTACTTCCTTTGTCTCAACTTGATACCACTCAACTTTCTAATAAGTAGATTGTGGGGGATCTTAATAATCTCTTCTTTTTTGTTAATTGTCAATAAAAACTACAGGTGGCATGCTGTTGCTTCATGGACATGGGATGCACAGGATGAGACTTGTGGAATTTGTAGGATGGCCTTTGATGGTTGTTGTCCTGATTGTAAACTCCCTGGGGATGATTGCCCTTTAAGTAAGCCTTAGAGCTGTCCAAAGTGACTCTTTTTCTTTACTTTTCAAGTTTCTTCATCATATGCATATATGCTCTTAAAAGGACATTTTGATCTATATTTGCTTGTTTCATAAGGATATTTTGTCTACTCTGACTGATATTATTGCCTTGTATTTGAGTGCACATTTGGATTATATGGTCATGTGGAATACTTATTTTTATGCCTTTAGTAAATCCACCATTATCGTTAAGCTTTGTTTCTACTTCTAGTAGGATGTCAAGTTGTTACTCTTTACGCCTGCCAATCTGCCATTGTATTACCATTAAGTTTCGACTTCTATTTGAATTCCAAACTGTTACTCTTTATACCTGCCATTATTTTGCCCATAATTCTAACTTCTCTATGTGACTCTGATTGCTATTATTGCCTTGTACTTGCACACATTTGGATTGTATGGTCATATGGCACTGTAATACTTATTTTTATGCCTTTAGTAAATCCACTATTATCGTTAAGCTCTGTTTCTACTTCTAGTAGGATGTCAAGTAGTTACTATTTACACCTGGCATTGTATCACCATTAAGTTTCTACTTTCTTTATACCTGCCATCATATTGCCTTTAATTCTAACTTTTCTATCAGTTTATCAAAATACTGTCTAGTTCAGACTTCTACTTCTTGTGGGATTGATAATGATATCCTTTTCTCCTGCATCTTACAAATTTGAAATTTCCCCTGGATCTACAAACTTGTTCGATAAATATATGTTTGTGATGCATTTCCAACATTTCTAAATTAGCAAGGATTTGCTTAATCCTTTTGGTGTATAAAATTTCCAAGACAGTTGCTGAAGAATGAGTGCTCCAGCTTTTCTATGCAATTTGAAGCTCATAGTCATTTTTTACAATTGACAATCATTATATTTTGGGGTTTTTACCAACACTCTCTTGGTTTAAACTTCCAATTCATATCCCTCCTGCCACCTGTATGGCACTTGTCCGCTAAATGATTAATAATAAAGATTTACGGTGGTGTCTCAATTATTGTCTTTTATGAAAGATCATCTTCAATGCTTATGTTACAAGGATGGAAAGACAATGTTCATCGTATAGTTTGTATGTTCAGGTGGTTTAAATGTTTTCTTGCAGTTTGGGGTGCTTGCAATCATGCATTTCATCTCCATTGTATCTTGAAGTGGGTGAATTCACAGACTTCTCAGGCACACTGTCCCATGTGCCGCAGGGAATGGCAATTCAAAGGATGAAAAACTGCATGTGTTCTTAATTTCTGGCAAGTTTCTCATCCTCCTTACTTCCCACCTATTAAATAAAATAAATAAATATAAAAACTTCACCAGTAAAGGAAATTTGGTCTTGAGTCTTGATTTCTGCATATAACTTTTTAACTTCTGCACTTTGCAGTTTTCTTGTTGCTTAAGTGACAGTATTACCTAAACTAATAGTTTAAGAACTCAAATAAGTGGGAAGAGATTATTTAGTCTGATTATTGGGAATTTGGGATTACTAACCAATTAATCAGACTTACCCGTTTGGCAAATATATGGTTTATTAATATTACTACACTTTAGCTTATTTAAGCAAATAATTCACAACCAGAATTGATTATGGAATAAGTCACAGTGGGCACTCTGTATTTTATAATCTTTAGTGCTTTACCACACTGGACCTTAAATATTTTGAGATTCTTTGCAACCTACATGGCAATCATAATTCCATACTAGCTCTTGCTTTTGTATTATCATGTTATTCTATCTTCTGTTATTGGAGAACTTGAATATAGGAATGACAGGGCTTTGCCTTTTTGACAATCATTACTTCATGAGTTAAGGTCCTTTAATCATTGTGTGTTGAAATGAAGTGCACGTTTGAGAGCGAACCAAGTGCAAGTGTTTCCCTTCTTATTTATCCTCTTTTGTATGTGCTTTATGAAAGTTAATTCTATACACTTAATGGTCTAATTACATTTACAGGTTTGGAAGCATTGCCCATCCATTCAACTAAAAGCACCTCGGAATTAAACACTACATCAAGATATTGCCATCTTTGCCACATCTTTTAGTCATTCTCTAGTTTGGTCCTCAGTTGTTTGTGTTGTACCTGATGCATCAAACATTGTCTGGCTTGGAGTAGTTAGGAAGCCCTTATGTTGTTTGCTTTGAGCTATGTTATAAACTTTGACAAATTTATGTGCTTTATGACTTAAAAATATTGATGATGGTTAATGATACTGCAAATTGAAACTTGTTTTACATGGATGCTGAGATTGGGCATCCTTTAGTTTGTACTTGCAGGCATTTTGTAATGTTATAAAACTGATACTTAGTGTAACAGACCTGAGGCTGAGAATGGGTTCAAATGCAAGGACTGATGAGCAACAGGATTAGTTGAAGGAGTTGGCAGATTGGAGGTTGAAGAAGTAGTCAAGTGTGTTTTACTTTCTTACCCTTGGTTGTTATAACAGCTGGTGAGCTGTTTTATTCCTTGGGATTGCTAATTTTTGTTGGATTTTTGGTTATTTTGGAGAGGATTGCACTTTTATTGTGTTATTCATTTTCTGAAATAAAACTTTGAATTTTCCCTTCTCTTCACTCTCTCAATTTCAAATTTCAAATTTCTTTTTCTGGTTCTTCCTTCTTCCCTCAATTCTGTTTTATTTTCTGTCGAAGACCCAGAACACTGTTTTATTTTCTGTCAAAGATCCAGAAGCATTTGGTATCAGAGCTCTTTTTGTTGGGCAGCTAACTTTGAAATAGAGATATTCTTAATCAATGTTGCAAAAATCGCGCCTAGGCACTAGGCGCCATTGCGCCGCCGCGAGGAACGACCTCCGCAGCCGGCCGCCTAGCCGGTTCGGCGCTATAATTTTTTTTTTTTTTTTTAAATATTGAAAAAGTTTCGGAAGGCATAACTTTTGACTCGGTTGTTCGTTTTGGACAATTTTTTTTTTCAAATCGCGTATTTTTTCGAGATCTATCCACCGCAAACGGCCGAAGGCGGTTTGGTCCACTAATTTCTCAAAAAAATGCTTCTTTAACTCTTAATTTTATTTTTTTATGTATTTAGATGATTTAAACAATCTTTTGAACACTTTTGCAACCACTTTCGTAAATAATTTCTAAGAAATAACTATGGAAACCTTATGTTTTATTACTAAATTTTAAAAATTTTTAATTTTTAATTTTATTTTTAATTAAAAAAATTAAAAAAATAAAAAATAAAATAAAAAATAAAAAATCGGCGCCTAGGCGCCCCCTTGGCGCCTAGAGGGCGCCTAGCGTGTTTTGCAACATTGTTCTTAATTAATATAAATTTCACACAATTGGAAGGAGTGGAATGCAACTATAAGATAGGATGACATTAATTCTTTGAATTCGAGTCAAATTGTAATAGTATAACTTAGAGGAATTCTAATTAATCAAAATTAGGAGGTATTGTAGTCATAGACCTAAACAATTGTTATTGACATGTATATTTATTTTATGGTCAATAATCCTAGGATTTCATAAATCCAAGTATCCTTTCTCTCATTTATCCCTACTTTTTATTGCCTTCATTTATTGCTTTATTTATTTATTCTCTTTTTTCTCAAACTCTATTACACAATTTATTAAATGCTACATAATAGAACATGTAGTATTAATACTTGTAGTCCCTATAGATACGACACTCGTTACTCTCACCTCTATACTCATAGTATAGTTGCCTAACAGAAATTTATATAGTGCAAATCGAAGTAACAATGATGGTATTGTCAGAACTTTGCATGATGTGGGACATATATTGGGATTAACTAAGAACCTATTTTCTCTTGATAGTTTGCACACTAATGGTTTTATGTATAGATTTGAAAGTGATAGGGAAACATTAAAATCAATTAGGATGCTCCAACTGTGATGAAATGGGAAAAGACCATGGGGAGCATTTATAGGTTGTTGGGCAGTATTGTTGTAGGTGGAGCACATTCTGTTGAGTCTAGTGGTGATACTACTACGTTGTGGCATTTACGTTTGGGTCATCTTGGTGAACATAGTTTATCTGAATTGTATAAAAGGAATATGTTAAAAGGGGTTAAATGTTGTAAACTATATTTCCATGAGTTCTTTGTCTTTGGGAAAAAGTCCAAAGTCGGCTTTTTCTACTAGGAAGGATAATATTGAAGGGATTTTTTATTATGTGCATGTTGATGTTTGAGGACCTATTAGGGAACCCTCGATGGGTGGCTCTTGATATTATGTTACGTTTACTGACGATTTTTCTAGGAAAGTTTGGGTGTATTTCTTGAAATAAAAATCTAAAGTGTTTGAGAAATTCAAGCTGTGGAAGGTTAAGGTTGAGAACCAGATTGATAGAAAAATCAAGTACTTGAGGTCTGACAATGAGACAAAATATATAGAGAATGAATTCCAGAAATTTTGTGTTGAGGATGGAATTCAAAGGCACTATACAATGCGTAAGACACCACAACAAAAAAGGTGTTGTTGAGCGGCTTAATAGGATCATTGCTTAGAGAGCAATGTGTCCCAGACTGAATGTTGTGCTCTCTAAATGTTTTTGAGCGGAAGTAGTGAATATAGCTTGTTATTTGATCAATAGATCGCCACGGACATCGCTTGATGGCAAGGTTTTTTAGGAGGTTTAATCAGGTAATCCTGTGAGTTTTGATCACTTACAAGTTTTTGGTTGTCCTGACTATGTTACTGTTTCAAGTGATTAGAAATCAAAATTAGATCCCAAATCAAAGAAGTGCATCTTTCTGAGTTTAAAGAAAGGTGTAAAAGGATACAAGTTTTGGGATCCTGCAACCAAGAAAGTAGAGATATCAATCTTAGCCCGAACTCGATGGGTTGGCCCGATAAAATCGAAATTGACTAGGCCAATGGCTCGAATGGGCTAGGCCGATAAAAAAAAATTAGCCCAATAGTCTGAAACCAATAAGCTCGATGACCCGAATGAGCTAGCGAACCCAATAACCTGAACTACTTAAGGTTATTCTTTAGAAAAATTTTCAATTTTAGTCCCACTAGTATGGAACCATTTTCACATTTGATCATTGACTATTAAAATTTCTAAATTTGATCCCACGACTTTTAAATCTTTAGCATATTTGATCCTTCCGATCAAAATCCGACCACCAATCCGGCAAGTGAATGATCTAAAGGACAAAATTGCCATTTTATTTTTAAATTCATTTTTTCCCCAAATCCCTTTGTTTCGACTTCAAAACATTAAATTTTGCACTCAACATGGCCTTCTCAACAATGCTCTTGATTACAATTTGCTGAATAAAATGAGATCAAGAACAAAAAAAGAAATAAAAGTTTGTGTTTATGTAGTTTGACCAAGAGAGACATAGGGAGTGAATGAAATCTTTTATTAATTGTTAAAGATACAAACATCATATTTATCAATAATTCTAACAATATATTTACAAAATTACCCATGTGTCGTACCATGAGGCCACAGCCTGCGCACCTCCGCTAATATAAGACATACACAACACATTATATACAAAGTGATGAGCAGTAAATAATTGATGGTAGCAGTCTAGACTCCATGACTGCTTAACATGAAATGACTATCCACACTATAGCAATGGTTAAATAAAATATTTGGCATCCATCCATCCTATTGAGCCCTTGGCCTGTTGTTCATGTCGGAAAGATGCAAATAAGATGCAAATAAATGATAGTGGCCGTGTTTATTGGCTATAGGCTAATTTTGGCTTATTTGATCACTATTAATTGTTTGATTTAGGCCCTGTTTGGTAAAATGGCTGTTAGCTGATAGCTGTTTGCTGTTAGCTGATTGTGTTAATTAGAGAGTATAAATAGTTGATAACATTAGCTGATTGTAGAAAAGTGTTTGGTAAATTAGCTGTTTGCTGATAGCTGTTTGATATAATTTCTTTTCTCAAAAAGCTAATTGAAAAAGTTGCTAGGAGTAGCTTTTTTAATTTTAGTCTTTTGGAGTTGCAAAAAGCTAATTAACCAAACATTTATATTGATATTTTAACTAAATCAAACAATTAATAGTGATCAAATAAGCTAAAATTGGCCTATAGGCTAATTTTTTACCAAACAAGGCCTTAGTTAAAATATCAATATAAGTGTTTGGTTAATTAGCTTTTTGCAACTCCAAAATGCTAAAATTCAAAAAGCTACTCCAAGCTACTTTTTCAATTATCTTTTTGAGAAAAGAAATTATACCAAACAACTATCAGCTAACAGCTAATTAACCAAACACTTTTCTACAACAGCTAATGTTATCAA